TTTTTTATTTCAGCCTGATAAACCAAGAAGTTCAAGAATTCTTAAATGTTTCAAGATGCAAAATCTAAAGCAAGGATCTAAAGACATGGAAAGAACAGAGCAAACTACATGTAGCAAAAACACCAATAGAGACACATGGACACATTATGGGGGTAGTCATAATTGATTGGATACAAGCATTCCAGACTTTGAAAACCTTTATAAATGAATAAATGAATTGTCATTGTTGTTTAATGTTCCACCATTTTAAAATCTCTTGAGTTTTGTGTTTCATACCAAATAATACGTGTAGCATTGTCATTGTAATACCTTTCTCGATAGTTTCTTCAAACCTACCTCATGTTGTCAGGATTTTGGCCCGGTTAAATGGAAGAAAACTGCAACATTTTCAAACCAACTACACTTTTAAGTGACTCGGTAATACAAAATGGGCACAGAGCTTTAAAATCCGCCTCATTGAACCATTTTGTCAGTGTATCGATTCTTAAGCCACGTTCGTGATCGTGCGTATTATTTACATCTTTATTTAGTCATTTTTTTACAAATACATTTTAAACAGATAAGACTTTACTGTAAATAAATATTGAAAGACTCTGTAGAAATATGAACGGCCACTCTCAAACATACTTATTTGTCTTAAAATATTCGTTGTTTTTTTTAAGGAAAGTGTTGAGTACCGCTCTTTTATTCGTTTCACAGTCGAACACTCAGATCGTTGAAATTCCCGAAGTATGAAATTGACTTATTTCAGAAACACATTTTCGATGACGTATGCTAAATGTTGCTGTTTTGTTGTCGGCTATTCTTTGGATGCTTTCCCATAACAAAGATTCCTTGCAACTGTAGACTTTAACTTGATTTTCTTCCCTGCCTCTTGTTTCTTAGCTCCTTCATTCTTCAGCTTGTGAGCACGGTCTATTAGCGGCGAACAAGCAATTACCGGTCACGCAACTACGTCGTGGGTGTTTCATTATTCAAGCTTTTGCTCAAGTAGAATCACTTATAAGACAAGTCATGTATTATTTTGATCACAGGGGTAGATGCTGCTTAAAGGGGAGGAGTCATTTGGGTGAAGAGAAGCTGCAAATGAAGCATCGTATCAATTTTCGTCGAACTGTGATATTTTCCGAAACAAACATGTGCTTTCTTAAAGCTATTGGCATTGTGTATGTAACTGCATTTATCACTGCAGCATTGGGGTCAGACTTCTGTCCCTCTCTGCCGGCCATGAACTGTTCCTGTCCGTCAGGGTGGGAATTGTGGCAGAAGGCGTGCTATCGTCTCACAGAATCACGGGATAACTGGGCTGAAAGCAAGTCATCTTGCCTTCACTTGGGGGGCGAGATGGCTGCTCCTCGCTCGCTCGAGGAAATGAAGATCATGGTGGATGTGGCATGGAAGGAAGATGGTAATATCTTCTATGCCTGGGTTGCTTGCTCTGACATAAACGTTGATGGAACTTGGGAGTGTGATGGCCAGGAAGGAAGAGAGCCATTCATGAAATGGGAACCAGGTCAACCGGATGATTCTGGAGACTGTGCTGCAATAACTGCAAGATCTAATGGCACTATGGATGACGGAGGTTGTAGTTATTCTAATAAGGCTTTCTGTACTCGTCAAGCTTCCTGCACTCCTCGCCCAACCCAACCTCGTCGCTACTGCTTCTCTACCGACACAACTGGCCGCATTCCAAACTCAATCTGCCTCCTCGAGCACGTCATCCGGGAGTTTAACACCGAAAGCGTCAGCTCCTGTGGCTCGGCCTGCATCGAGGAACCCGGATGTCGCTCCTTCAACATCAAGAAACACGAGGGGAAGAAACTGTGCCAGCTGAACAGTGGCACAAGCTCTGAGGACAAGACCGAGTTTCAGATCACTGAACATTTCTGTATCTACGCAGAAGTATGTTTTGCCTAGTTCTGACATAAACTGAACAATTCGGAAGGGTCATTTGCAAACTTTAATTCGCTAAAACCATTGAATTTGGAACTAAGAAGACAAAAAACATTTGCAAACTCTTTTTGGAAACAAAATCACTTGGAAGGAAATTGTTTTGGCGATCAATAGAAGAACAGGACTTCATTACCCTCATAAGAAAAGTTAGTTCTCTTTTTCCATCCCAGACAGTGGCATAAATTTATGTCAGACGTTGGGGATGCAGATTGAGGAAGGGGGTGACTTATCGGTCATGGAAATTTGAAAAGCAGGGGAGGGACTGACACTCTGTAACACTATCGGCGGCCATGTTCATGAAACAGATGTACATCAGTAACTCGTATTAGATTCAAGCAGAATCTTACACCAGAAAGACACAATCATAGCTTTTTTATTGGTCTCCCTTTCTGAGTGACATGGAACACATAGGCCTACTGGTTGTTGGTAAGTCCGAAACATTTTCACAATCCGCTTATATTTTTCTCTCCACAAAGAAAGGAGGAGGATGATTCAATAGCCCATCTCACCTCAAAAAGGGGCGGAAATATATAGCCCCATCGCCTCGGAACTTACGCCCATGATCCCATGGTGTGTTTCAATCCATTCCAATCTAACTATGTTAACATACACACATCTAGTCAGCGAGTTTGTAATGACACTGCACTTGTTTTGAAACATTTTTATGGCGTTACACGACAACACCTTTGGCTTTATGACTGTAAATGATTGTCGAACTCAGGGATTTAATTTGTTCGTGTCCATGCAAATTCCACTAGACATTTTGCATTCGCTGTCTGTATCAAAAGGCTGCAAAAATCCTGGGTAATGTGTTAGTTGTGTTTTTCTTGTGAGGCACGAGTCTACACCTTATTTCTCTACGAGTTTTGTGCACAAAAAGAAGTTGACGAATTCTCCCTATTCACGAACTTTTAATGTCATATTCAAAAGAAATATCAATCGACACAGTTTGTATGTTTGGATATATTTTGAAGCCACAAATATCAAAAGTGCGAGCTCTATTTAGCGGTAATGTATCAATCGGATAATGCACTCCATTATATCTCTTGACAAACAGCGCTGTAGGCGATATCTGAGCACTTTAAGCGCCGCCCTTTTCCCTTTTTTCCCCTTTTCTCTTCCTTTGTATACAAATTATACATTTATTTGTCCAAATGTAATTATATATTTAAAATAACCACCTACAAATTCTAAACTGATTCCGAAAACCTTTAGAATCTTGAATTCTAAATACACTGTACATGTCGGAAAACGTGACGTCCAGGAAAAACGTAGAGTTAACAAAAAATTACGAGTGTTTGTAAAACAAATGCTCTGAAAACCTGTGTCCAAAAAGATTCAGCGCTAAATTCCTCCCGGAGGGTGTTGAACTTGACCTTATTACATTGTAACCACAAAGTTAGTGTAGTTCCTGCGGAGTGCTTGCTAGAACTTACTCATCTCACTATTATACCTTGAGCCAGCACCCTATTATGCAACACCACTTGTCCGCAAAATGCACACTATGCATTGTTAGATTCAGCGAGGCAATTCCCGCTTTACTGCGTGATTTCAAGCAACATTAATCTGCACAGATAAAACTGAAGTGTTTTTGTCATTTCAAAGTTTTATGGTATAATCCTGTGGCTGTACATTTGAAGATGTACGTAGCATACACATTGCTGGTAAATTAACATGAAACTTTAAGTAAATTCACTGGTAAACCTGCTCCTTAATGACGTTACTTTTTAATTTCCCAGAGCGAAGGGTATGCTTGCATTAATACGCCGCTTGTAATTTAACTTTTGTGCTAGAATAGAATATTTATTGACATGGTGAAGAATTTAGAAGGGAGTAGCTTATAATATACTGATTATTTAATGAAGGATGCCTACTTAAAATAATCATGCGTCGATCCGTACATAATAGAGAAACCCTAGCTACGCAGACAAGTGGAGCGCGACTGTTTGATAAGTGCCCTTGTACCGCAGGTGGGTGCTGGCGTAAGCAGTTGCTCAGATACCAACTATTGCCTGAAAAGCTATTATTTGGAATTGGCACGATGCCCGGAATTGGACGCGGGGGGGGGGACGTGTCAACCTTTTAGCCCGATCAAGCATGATGCGATAATTAGACAGAAAAACTGACGTTATTAGGCCAGTAAATGTTATGTTTGGAAACTCTACAAAGCTTCAACGGATGGGCACGTGAATTTTTAATTAAATAAGCGTATTCCAGGATAATTTTGCTATATATAGAATTAGCTTTCAGTCACCAATATTCGAAATAAATGTTTAAAAACAATGTTGGCTTTGTTGTTTGATTCTTTTTGCTTCTGTGTAGGGCTTGTTTTGTCGTGCTTGTTTCTTGTGGGTTAGTTTCTTGAAATGCTGGTGTTCTTTTACACTTTGTAGCCAGTCACTGGGGCATCCGTTGCAATGATTATGGTATTTGGACGAGCATTTCGGTGCAGTTAATTTTACGGGTACCTTTGTTGTTATTCAATGAAGTCAGTATAAAATACGTCCTCTGAAGGTTATTTAGACCATCTTCAAACTAACAGCTTTCCGGTTTGCTGAATGCTGGTTAGTGTTACCACGGAAACAAAGCCCATTTTGTGTGATCCAGTTTCGCGTGCCGTCAAGTTTCACTCGTGTTTCCCATTCCGTTTGTCCTTGGTCTTGGAGAAATTCTACCTATTTATGTTCTATAATGGCATTTTTACGACTGTAAGGAAACATTACAAAAAATTGAAAAAAATCATGTAATCTTACTTTCTTTCTATTTGGCACCATAATAGCAAATTACTTAATTAATAAAAAGATATCTCAATGCATAATTTCAATTCAATTCAATTTATCGTCCATATTAAAAAGCATAGAAAGTCAACTCCCCTTCTTTGGAGACGTTTGCTTCTTGTATAAAAAACAGTTAAAACGGTTCCTGGATGTTTTTAACATTATATTATTTTTTATGATGATTGACGTTGGCTAATATTTACCCATGTTTCACGAAGACTGAAATTAATTGCAACTGTTGACAGTAATTCTCTCCGTTTCCTGACTCCTTCAGTTTGGTGGGCTATTATCAACGACTGACTAATTACCCGTCCAGTCATTCATTGCGGGCGTTTCACTTTTCAGATATATTCTCATGTCTAAGCATTAAAGCCTCCGATCACGTGCTTCTCCTGCCTAGAGGTTATCACCAGCTGCTCTTGCTGGCTGATCAGTCTCAACTATTAAGGTCAACTGCAGATACAATTACAAACGGAACAACATTGTCACTTCAGCCCTATGGTATTTGCCGTTGAACAAAGGATGCGTTTTTTAACGCCTCGTACCATTTTTCTCACCTTTGAACTTAAACATTGAAGGCGCAAAGTCGTAAGTATCTATAGCAACGATAGCTCACGTCAGTTGCTTTGCCTTTTTTGTTGCGACTAGTTTTATGTCCTGTTTCGTGTTGGATCTCCATGCTCAGACTGAGACACAGCATTTGAGGGAAACACATCATTCTTTAATTTTCTCCAAACTGCTACCATCTACCAAAAAGGGAGTCATGTACTTGCTCAAACTTGTTGGCATTATAGCCATCTCTGCGGTGATCAGTGCTGCATGGGGGTCAGACCTCTGTCCCTCTCTGCCCGCCATGAACTGTTCCTGCCCGTCAGGGTGGGAACTGTGGGAAAAGGCGTGCTATCACCTTACTAGTTCAAAAAGTAATTGGTATGACGCTAACTCTGCATGCCAGGAGATAGGAGGCAAGATGGCAGGTCCTCGTTCTAATGACGAAATGGAGTTCATGGCAGATGTTGCAAGACAGGACGACAGTAACTACTGCGCCTGGATTGCTTGCAACGACATTACAGTTGAGGGAAGTTGGTCTTGTGAGGGCCAAGGAGGAGAGCCATTCCTGGAATGGGGACATGATCAACCGGATAATTGGAACATGGATCAAAATTGTGCTACAATAGCTGCAATGTTTAATGACCGCATGGACGATGTGTCTTGTGCTGATCCTCTTAAGGCTTTCTGCGTTCGTCAGGCTGTCTGCACTCCTGGCCAAACCCAACCCCGACGGTACTGCTTCTTTACCGACGCCCGCGGCCGCATTCTCAACTCAACCTGCCTCCTCGACCACGTCATCCGGGAACTTGGCACCGACAGCGCCAGCGCCTGTGACTCGGCCTGTATCGAGGAGCCCGGATGTCGCTCCTTTAACATCAAGAAAAACAGAGACGGCAAAAAACTTTGCCAGCTGAACAACAGCACAAGCTCAGAGGACAAGGACAAGTTTCAAACTACCAGTTATTTCTGTACCTACTCAGAGGTATGCATGGGCTAGACCGTGACTATCTAAGAAATGCAAACTACAAACCTCATCTTGGACTTTATAAAAACAATTTTAATTTGGCATATTTAACCTGGCGTGACAATTTCTTGCAATTAACACTTACTTACTAATGAAATAGCTGCAAAAAGGAAAAGATAACCTCCCCCAAAAACAAACAAAATAGGGGCGCCTTCTCTGTCCTTCGGCTACATTTGACTTCGACATTCTCATAAGTGTGGTCTGCAAACCTGTAAATTTAACGAAGCCTGAACTCAACTCAAAGAAGCCTGAACTCACTTATTTGGATATTGCTTTTGATGAAAACCATTTTTGGAGATCCTGCATGTTTCTGGCTACGTTACAACCAACTTTATGTTTCAGCGCCAAAGGATCAAGGAGACTTTACGCTAGTAGCATAATAAGGTAGAGAGAGAATTAAAACTTTGGCTTTAGTTTGAAAGCAAAGTAATTACGATCCGAAAAAAATGCAAACCATTAAATTATTTTGAAGCTTGAATTTTCTCCGATGCGACAAAGAAATCAAATAAGATCATACTGATATAAGGAACAAATAAACAAGAATTATTTAATGAGAATGTTACACTTAGCATGTACTTAGCAGATAACAAAGAAAATGGCAATTGGAACTAGTTAACAATGATAAGGATAAAGAATTAAGAAAAGATCCGACATAAACAAGATGTTCTCACGGGCGAGAGCGTGGCAGGTACTACAGTGAAGAATGCTGGACTCCACCGTATGGCGAAAAACAGTTCAGTCCTTGACGGCGCAAAAAATGAGCTGCAACGGCGACAAAAAAGACCACGTCCAATGAGAACGACCGGGCTCGAGACGAAACGGCGAGGGCGTGATGACCGTCACAAGTATGGGAGATGGTGACCCCACAAACTGGAACTGGATTCAGTTCACAAAGTGTCTTTTCCGGGTCAAGATTCAGCTCTGCACTTCACTTGATCTGGACGAACTTTGGACTCGCCACCACAGGTGCAGAAGTCAACAAGTTAAAGACTTCTCATAGCCAACATTCGGTAGAGTTACCTTCTAAAATTTTCCTTTGCTGTGCATGCGTGTGTCTCTCGTCCTTCTGTCTTTGATTGCCAGAGCCCGTATTTTATAGTCTACAAGTCCTCTAGAAATTTCTTCTCATTACGTAAGTTTCTTAAAATACACTCGTCAGCATTACTCAATCTTACAAGAAACTTCCTGAAAAATACACTAAATAACTGGAAATGTGAGCTTTCAAGAAATTTCCCGTCAGTATTCATGACTAGCAGACTACATCGAGGTCATTCACTGTGGCATGGGGTCAAACGCAGGTCACACTGCCACACGTACATAGACTGTGTGTGTATATACATAACATAATATATAATAACATCCGTTTCATCTATTAAATTAATGAAGTAATTTTGGTGTCATTGTATCACAGTTTATAATTCTGATCCGAGACTGTCAATATTCATTATTAAGGAAACATAGACTTTATAATAAAAGCCAGCTTGTAAAGTTTGCCTTACCATAAAAGTTGTACATGTAGAGTCTTCTTACATTTTTCATGTTGGTTCTCCGATGCAAAAAGAATGTTTAGCGTTGGTGTTGTATCTAAAACAAAGACAGCGTCACCTCCTTTATTTTTTATCTGCGTTTTACCTTTTTACATTGGAATTGTCTGACTACTTAAGCACCAACTAACCAATCACACCATATGTTGATTGAACAGTAATTATTGGCCAAGTCCAGATCACTTTTTTTTTAAATCAGTGTTCATACAAATCGTTATCATTCTTGTGCATGTACATCTGAATGTAATATGCTGCAATTTCTGAAAGCATACCTCGTGTTACATACACTACATGCATCTCCACTCTGTTGCCTTAAATTTGCTCGGTAGTTTTATTAAACAAGACAGTTTTCTTACACTTCTTTTCTATTTTGTGTGTGTGAGCATTGTGGTATCTTCATAATGTCCAAAGACAACAGTTTTATTCCCATGGCAATTTGAAAAGGATGAGGTCAAGTAAGTGCACGTTTTCAGGTGGTGTATGGTCACGAGTATATTGTCAAAAAAAAGCTTGTAATGCAGTGAGGAGGTTTTCTACTCGACAATCTCTATCAGAAATAATGAATGGACTCGGGCAAACCAAAAGGCGTTACTTGGTCTCATTATTCAACAGGGGCACTTGAAGTACTGTTGCGTTCCCTAAATATCAAGTCGATAGTAGCATAGACTTTATTAGCGTCTACGAGGTGTGATATTTGGGGTCAACAATTTATTAAAGGGTGGACGTGAAATAAGGGGTTTGGGTGACAGTCAAACTGTATGGTTGGTTTATTGCTCTCACTTCTCTTCATCAAAGTTCAATGTGGGCTTGAAGAAGGTGTAGCTTAACATAATACAACATACAAAAGGCAAAGTTACAGAGAGGCGAAGTTGTATACGAGTGTAACTGAACTACGGTTTGGCAGGACCATTGGAAATGCAAGTCAGACGGAGTGGGTACGGTACGTGTGCGTAGAATCGCACAGCTAGGCTACACTCATCGGGCTGGGCCGGGGTGGGAGCTGTCCCGGACCACCACGGTGACTAGCAAGGGCTGGACGGGGCCAGCGCAGGTATGTACCGACCACACTGCCGTTCAGACCGCAATGTGTTGAGCGCAATGATAAGATCGCCGCACTGTGTACCATTGGCTCAGCGTGGAGACGGAGAGGACTGGGCTAGTTAGCAGGACATGGGTGGCGAGGGACACGGGGGTGTCTCGCCCGGCAATCGGTTCGGACGTAGCGGTGACGGGCCGCTACGACTCACTAGCACCCTGGGCAAGTTCGTACCGCTCTCGCATCGGTCCAAGCTAAGTTCTAGCTGGCCATTCATATGGTTACATTTCTTCGCCATAAGAATGGTTACTATCACACTTCTCTCGGAGAGGGGCCAACCGCTGCACTACGTTAGGTTCCGCTCTCGCAACAAGGGTTTGGTCCACAGCGACTGACCGACGAGTTAAGGAAAATCTGAGGTATTTATAGGATTCTAGAGGCTTAGGAATTAATAAAATATGAGCGTCGCTGAACAGCTCAACCAATGAAAATCTTCCATCTCAAAGGGTCACATGACTTCTTGCTAGAGTCGTGTGCAAGAATTTAAGTGTCGTGTGTAAAATACAGAATAAGAAGTCACGTGTACAAAGTGTAGGGCCGGGTGCGTGAAAGTGCTTACCCGGTCATCTGTGGCGAATGATTGACAGTTACAAAGTCTGAGGTTTCTGAACATTAGCATTTCAGGGAACCTTACCACGCAGCCACGTGGAGGGGAATTTCGACAGAGAAAACACAAGGATAAAGGAGTGAAGGATCACGCCAGAGTACAGCATGAATAACTTAATACAAAATTAGCGTCTCGGCTTCATGTCCATAATGCATAGCTGAGCTAAATAAGAGACCCTGACAAATGCAAGGACCGAGAACGAGTAAAACTAGGGGGCGCTAGGATTTTAAGATTTGCGGGTGCGCAACAGTACTTTACTGGGACACTTCCAATTTTCATCTAAAAATATCTTTATTACGAAGGAAATCGCTATCGATACAGTAAACAACAGTGCGTGATTTAAGCACCATCTACATTTTACACGCAGCAAAGGAAAGGTGGTCAGGGACCCGATATCCATCCGAGTCTTTGGCGGAAGGGGAACGGCAGATGTCCTAACTATGTACCATACTGTGCTCCCATTCCAGTGGCGTATCCAGGGGGGTAACTTACCCCCCATGACAGATTTTTTATTTTTAGATTTTAATTTTTTTATTTATTTTTGTTACAAAGAATACTTCATAGGTAACAAATTAATAGGTGTATTTATTCATCAAATGGTAACACCAAAATCTCAACAAAACAATACATGAAATAAAAGCAAGGGTGTCGGGACCGCGAGTAAGGTATGTTGAATGGGCTTAAAGCCGCATTCGTTGTCCTATTCCCTCTCCTGGTCGTGTTAGCCCTCGGTAGGCAGCCTGAGGTTGTTTACGGGTGGCATCTTGATCAACAAGTCCGGAATACCAAAATGACGGATAAATTCCAGTTGTCCAGACATGTTCAGAAGGGTGACACCTGAACGTTGCTTTGGAAAAGTAGCTAATTTGCAAAAATTCAAAATGGCTAAAGCAAAAGATAACAACACATAAATATCCACATATTCCTGGAACATCTCTACAACAATTTTAGACACGTTTTGTCCTCAGACGAGTCGATCGTGGTGTCGTTGAAAACTAAATCGAAATCCACCTCAATGAAGCTGAATGTAGGCACTGAAGGGCTTGATAAATATTTAATTCACTTTCGACGACTGAAGGCTTTGCCCGAAATCTTGGCTATACGACTGTATTAACTGGTGCAATATATCAGCGGGGAAATACATGTAGATCCCTTATGGTTGTGCATTCCAGTCAAGTATTTTACATAACAGACTTGTATAACCATTGCTTTCTTTGCCGAATTTGCATTACTCTTTGGTACATGAATTTTGAGGGGCATTGGTTGAACAAAACAAATCACAGGCGACAGACAATTGATGGATTGATAGTTGCTGCTGTCATGTGAATTGTTGATTTAGATCTATTTTGACATGAGACTGGCCGATATCCGGGCAAAAACAGGTTTCAATGCAGAAAAAAAATGCAGAAAAATAAATGCAATCACACGTATGAAGCCCAACCACCGTGGTTGTGTGTGTAAATGTAATGTTAGACTCGCGTAAAAAACACCAACAATTTTGCGAACTGCAGTAGTCAAGCAGTTACAGCATAATAGTTTGCAATCTGTGGGTATGTGGGCTTGAATCCCGAAATTGTGAACAGGGAAGATTTTATTTTCAGGAAAATAAAGACCGAATGTTATATACCGGCAATAGAGCCTAATTTCATTCGTGGAGTTTTTATGGTTGGTTGAGCCCCCATACATGTGTGCATGGTTGTGAACAGTGGTTTGGCTTACGTGTGATTGCAATATACATGTAGCTCGTTTTTGCTGAAAACAGGATCAAAACACGTTTTAATTCTGTTTTGGGGCATAAAAACAGCTCAGAAACATGTTTTCAGTAGAAAACAAAAATGTAAACTGGCAAGCACAAGGTGCGTCTTACATGTCTTGCACACTTGGACTGGCAGTAAAGCTCCAAACCAACAACCAGTAACCAAAGCAGACAGGTTTGTGGTGACAGTCGCCCACACACTGTACCCATTCATTGGGAACTTCACAATCAAACCACAGACCTGGAGGAGACAAAAGAACATCCACTCAATAACACGGTTGAATACATTCATACACACAGTATGCAAGACTGTCTATCACAATTGGTTAATAATTGCAATCGCCCAATAGGCCTAGTTGTAATGACACACACTGTAGGCCGACTGGTTCTTTCCCACAGCAACTTCTGCAAACATTTTCAGCCTTAAAAGCACAAATTCATTTCAAATAAAACAAGGCGAAATTATTTTTACCTACTAACACGGCCTTGTTGGGACCGCAAACCTCGCAAAA